CAGTGCATCATGCAGCCGCTGCAGCCAAGTCCGCAAGAGCATCGCTCGTGCCCGGCAAGCCCTTAGTCCGCCCACTTAATAAAAAATTCCATAGTTAAAAACCTGGTGCACCGAACCACCCTTTTTATCTCCTACCCGAGGGCCAGAGTATCGCTCAATGCCCGGCAAAACCATAGTCCGCCCACTGAATAGAAATTCCATATTCCAAAACCAGGTGCACAGAACCACCCTGGGCAGCACCATTTCATCCTAGCCAGCGCGTCATGCAGCCGCTGCAGCCAAGTCCGCAAGAGCATCGCTCATGCCCGGCAAACCCTTAGTCCGCCCACTTAATAAAAATTCCATACTTAAAAACCTGGTGCGCAGAACCACCCTGGGCAGCACCATTTTATCTCCTACCCGAAGGCCAGAGCATCGCTCCTGCCCGGCAAAAGCCTGAAATTCCAGAGTCAAAAGCCCAGAAATGCGTTGTACTATAGCAGGGTTTCAACTGTATGCTCCCGAACGGCCTCGGCCATGACTTCGTTTTTGTGGGCCTGTGGAGCCAAAGGTTCGGTTGGACCATCTGCCAGCGCATGACTTTGTCAGAGTCGCATTGCAAACTCCGACGGAGAAGCGGTCGAAACAGAGCCAAAGAAGCGGCCGAACCTTCGACGCCGCGTGCGTCCAACCGCACAGATCCTTGGTTCGTTTGCGCCTTCGCTCCAGCCTCCGCCAGAGCATCGCTCACACGGTCAACTTCATGACAACAACCAGGCCGTAGCAGTAATAAAAAGACCGGTCAGCGAGCGCTGCACGAGCGGTGAGACTGCAAGGAACTGTAAAACTGTGAACGATGCGTGCAGAGTGCAGTGTCCGTGAATTCGTTCTCGCCAGGTGCGCACCGTCTACATCTTCAGTCGGTGGGGGGCCGAACAATGCCCCTCCCTGTGCAAGACGGGGACCGGGACTTCGGGCGTCCCGGTAGCATCCTTCTCGAGAAGGGGGCTGACCGTCCCGGGAGCGTCCTTCTCGAGAAGGGGGCTGACCGCCCGGGCGTATACCTGGTATACGCCGAAGTCGGGAGAGCCGTCTTGCACATGTCCTGCCACCCCGTCTCTCTCTCTCTCTCCTCTCTCCCTCCGCTCTCTCTGTGGGTCTCTGTCTCTGTAGTCTCTGTCTCTGTCTTCTCTGTGGTCTCTGTCTCTGTCTTCGCTGTCTCTCTCTTTCCCTCTCTCTGTCTCTCCCTCTCTCTCTCTCTCTCTTTTTGAGACTGTGTGAAGCCTATGTTGCCACATCTTGAGGCAGTCTGGGCCCAGTTGAGACTGTGCGAGGCCTATGTTGCCACATCTTGAGGCAATCTGGGCCCGCTTAGGGGCTATGTTTCCCATATATGAGACCTAGGTCGGGTCATCTTGCGGCTATGTGTACTATAGGCTGGGACTAGGTGAGGTCCTCTTGAAGGCCTCTTTCAGATCATCTCGGAGCACATGTTCCGCCTTTGCTGTTGGCGTGTGCCCAACGCCCACGAAATGCCGATTAAGCGTGAGCAAAGTTAAGCTATCTGGCGCATCTTGGCCCTAGGTTGAAAGTTAAGCCATCTGGTGCGCATCTTGGCCAAGTTGAGCCCATGTGGTCTATGTTGGGCACATCTTGGGCCCACGTTGAGCCTATGTTGGGCCTAGGTTGGCCTATGTTAGGCCTATGTTGGCCTAGGTTGGGCCTATGTTGGCCTATGTTGGCCCTGTGTTGAGCCATCTTGGAGGCTATGTTGGGCATACGTTGAGGATATGTTGGCTATCTTGGGCCTATGTTTGCCTATGTTGGCCCTGTGGTGAGCCATCTTGGAGGCTTTGCTGGGCATACGTTGGGGATATGTTGCCTATCTTGGGCCTATGTTAGAGATATGTTAGGCAACTTATGTGCACAACACCCACGAAATGTCGATTAAGCCTGTCCGCGCGGCACGCATAACCGACACCACCGACGCCCTGTTAGACGAAACTCGTGTCCGCCGACGCCCACGAAACACTGTAAAACACGATGTTTTTGAACACCCAACGCAAAAAACTTGGTCGATACATATACATCCGTCGACCGGATTCGACCTGGGGTCGACCGGGGGTCGACCGGGGGTCGGGCGGGGGTATCCCCGCGGTCCAACAAAAGGGTCGGCGGCAGGGGGGGCGAGCGTATATAACCTTCGGTTACCAACCGAAGGCCTCCGGCAAGGACACGGGCCCGTGGCCGGCGCCCGGATTAAGGGCTGCCGCCCCTGCCGCCGACCCCGGCCACTGCTGCAGAGTACCGAAAACAAACATGGAATCTGATTCCAGGGATGGTTTCGAGTACTTTCCTCTACCTAGAAATCAAAATGACCTATTTTTTTAGCCCTCGCTAGGAAAGGCTGAATTTTCAGCCATTGGCTGAAATTGGGCTTCTAGCATTGAACTGACAAGTTCATGGGCTGGATATCACGCATAGTTCAGCTTTTTTTCACGCAAGCTTCAAGTCTTTGAAACCACCTTTGGCGTGATTGTCCCGCCATACATGTTAAATGTTTTTGTACAATGAATGGTCCTAATTGGAAAACCACAGTTGGTACAATTTGATCAAGTACCGTTGAATTGTTCTCAAGCAAAGATTTCGGGCAGGGGCTTTCCTGGATATGCGAGCTACCCGCCCCACAAAGTCTTCGCCACCCTCGCACAAAAAGATGGCCGGTGAAAGAAACCTGTCATATTGAGAGACATCCAAGCAAACTTCGAGCCGGTGGGCAAGATGCTGATACTGATGAAGCGATGGCTCCATGTGGAACCTGCGTAGTTTGAAATCCCTCATCAGCCTCGATGCTAAGAAGGCATAGGAAGCACTGAACTCATTCACACAATCTATGATCTTTTGGCAATCCTGCCGGTTGCGCCAGAGTGGATCCTCGTGAATAAGCCTGAAAAAGAGCAGAGAAGCCCTGCAGCCATCATGCATTGCATGAACACCTGGTCACGCCAGCATCAACCTTCATTTAGACGGTACTCTCGCTACCAAACGCCGCTTCTAGCTCCCCGAACACCTGACCCCGCCACGGCTTTCCCCAATCTAATTCTGGTCCAAAACGAGCCTCCTCTGGTTGCACTTTCGATGCCAAACGCCGCCACAAAAAAGAAGTTTGTTTCCATTTGTCTCGCTCATTGTCTCGCTCATCCTAGCTCCGAACACCTGGCCCGCCACGAACACCTGGTCACGCCAGCAGCAACCTTCATCTAGATCGTACTCTGGCTACCAAACGCCGCTTCTAGATCTCCGAACACCTGACCCCGCCACGGCTTTCGCCAATCTAATTCTGGTCCAAAACGAGCCTCCTCTAGTTGCACTTTCGGTGCCAAACGCCACCTCTGAATCCTGACAAAAAAGAAGTTTGTTTCCATTGGTCTCGCTCATTGTCTCGCTCATCCTGGCTCCGAACACCTGGCCCGCCACGAACACCTGGTCACGCCAGC